AAAAAACATTAAACTGTCCTGAAATAAAAGTTTGCAGTTTTTAATAATAGCAAAAGCATATGAACATAAACTTCTTGTTTTTGTGTGACATATTTTCATAAAGACTTCTGGGCAAAATGGATTCATCTTCACCAGCAAAATTTGTCAGGCAAATTGAGGAGCTCCACTGAGGCCGTTAGAAAACATGATCTTATCAAGTCACGTTAGGACTGGCAAGAGCAATATGTGGCCTGGTTTCCTGTTTGGCCTTGAACATCACTAGCTTATCATTTCTCCTTGATGCTTAATGATAACTTAAAACAGTGAGCAACAGGTAGTGTTAGACTAGGGGGAAAGATTTTGGAGAGACAGATACATTTTCTGAAGGAATGTAAAAATAAATTAATAGAAACCAAAGCGCCCCCACAGATTTGTTTTTTTGTTTTTCCATGACTAAAACACTCCTTAGGGAAGCCTTCTCCAGCTAACAAGTTAGTGTGTGTGTGTATCCCCCCTCCCCCTTGGTTCTAAAGTCTCAAAGCTGATTGATATAAGTTTGAGTTGCATTTCTTGAAATGAATCAGAGGCTCCTGAGAATGTAAGATGGGAAAAGTGAATGCGTTTCCAAGCATATGAATACAACAGATGCATTATGTACTGTTTTTAATAAGGGTGCTGAAAAAGCACAAATGGGCAGTGTTTATGCAAGAGCTCCACTTCAATATTTGTGTAACTTTTGCCTCCTACTGCCTTACAGTATAAGAGCTTTTTTGTCTCATGGGAATCCATTCCAAACCACTCAGGGTTTCTACTGAAGCTCTGAAGAGATTCTCCCATGGTTAAAACTGAAAATCCACTATTGTAATTGAATTCATCAGCATGATGGTGCTTTATGGGTTTAAGAAATGAATTCAATTTATGCACAATAGTCAAATGTGCACTGAGGATTCAGTGTATGTGCCCATTGTAAATTCAGGTGAGCTGTTGAAATTCCTTCCCTGGCTGTTGAGGCTGGTTTTTGACATCTCCATGTGTTTGAATAGAACTTAAGAGTCCGAGTGCCTTGCATACAAGTATTTCTGGAGTCCTGTAGTTTCTCTTAATCCCAGAGTTACAAGTCTCCTACAGGAGGAAAATCCTTCTATAAAGAAAAGCTATTTAAGTAACTGTTTGTTGTTAGGAATACTCAGCTGTTGGTGTAGCCAAGAAACAAAGGCCTATAATTTCATTCCATACTGTGGATTGCCAACATGTGGTGGCACTTGTGTCTAAGGGCCTACTAGTAGCCTCTGCATCACATTTTGCCCCTTCATTGTAAAGGGTTGGTGGGGAAGAGAGAGAAGCTTCCTGATCTGTATATTGTCTGCTTTTGTGTTTGAAAAGCCCACAGAAAGGGACTTGGAATAATAATTTTTTTTAAAAAAAAGGGTGCGGGGAGATAATACCACCAGTGAGCTGTATAGTACCACATGGGGTGGGAGCAAGCAGATCAGGAAGGAAGAGAGTGTCTATAAGCTAGGGCTGACCTTTGCTGGAATAGTATCTTGTAATTTTTAGTAAGTCATTATGGGGAGAAGGATAGGGCCCTATGGCTAAAGGAGAAGACTAGGATTCAGGATATATGGTTCCTGGCTCTGCCACAGACTTCCAGAATAACCTTGTGTAATTTACTTAAACACTTTTGGGGCCTCAGTTCCACTCTCTACTTCTCTGCCTCAAAGGGGTTATTGAGATGTACTGTATTATTTGTTGTAAGGTGCTTTTAGTTTCTCAGAAAAAATGTTACATATAAGTGCAAAGTACTACCATCATTCAGCAGGCACATAGTAGTCACTGGGCACTAGGAGAACAGGAAGATTCATGGTTTGAACAGCACAATGGAAAGATAATTTTCTCAGTCGAATTTTGGTTAGATAGGAGAGGGGCAAGATGGGAATCAGAGTACAGACGAGGAAGTTGCAGTAATCAAGGCAGAGAGAGGAAATGATAGATTATAAACATTTTCTCAAGTGTGTCAATAAGTATACACTTAATGCCAGCTTTCATTAGAAATAGGATCAAGTCTAGGACTGCCCTCCTGGGGTTTCTAATTTCAAAGTTTGGGGCAAGTTTATCTCACTAATACCTTTTTCTGTTCATCTCGATCCTTTCATATGGTCTTGTCACTTTGTATTAGTACTGCCTTTCTCTGCAACTCCTGGCATCTAAAATAGTCCTTCTACCTCCTCAGTATTACATTTCTCATTAAATGCCATATGGAAAGACACATTTTCTTCCTTGCCTTTGGTCTTAATCTCTCCCCTTCTGCTAAGATATTTGTGGCCACAATGGAGAGATTTCCACATATTTTGGATGGAAAACATTCTGAATGAATTTGGGGTTTTATTGGCTATAAAGATTTATTGTTCTTCAGAATCAGCATTGACTTCAGCTTTGCCTTAGTATGTACCTCTCAGGACAATTAATCTTGGTCTTCACCTCAGAGTACAATATGTGCTTATTATTTAAGCCTGTCATTGTATTAATTCCAAGCATATACTGTGGGATGCAGTTTGCATGAAATACACTCCCCGGAGTACTGTGTTTGAGTCAAGTTAATTACATTTTAGATCTATGCTAGAATTGAAACAATTTTTTTAAAGTTATTCTCAAGGCCTGAATTAATGTCATTATCGGTTTTGTGAAAATGTTTTTTCCATTAGAAAAGTGAAAATTATTAAATTAGACAAAAGAATAGGGCAAGGTGGCTACACTAGCCTGGAATGTCAAGGCAGTGCTGTGCACAAGGATTTGAATTAACAATACAGATGGGAGATAGCTACAACTAAGAGTTCTGGGTGCTTTAATAGTCTGCAGTTAGTTGCATCGTCTGGTGTTTCAGAAAATGCTCTTAAAAACTTATCAAATGGATGATGGATGTGTTTGTAAAGGCTTGGATGGTCACTTTCTATGGAACGATAAATTTGCTGTTGTACATAATGAGGTCAGTGAAGCAACCAGAAGGGAAATATATAGTTCTGTAGCATGGGTCTGTAAGCACAGTACCGTCTAGGCTATTTAAGTTTAATGAAGCAGCTACTCTGCTGCTGCATATTCTTGTTGAACAGTCTCAGCATGTATTTTAAAACAAAAGTGTTACTGGTAATCGTGTCCCTGCACACTCTCCTTGGAAATCCTGTGGGTCCTATTCTCATAAGAAGTCTTCATCTTTTATGTGCTAATGGTTTTGAAATTAGTCATTTGCTTCATTTTCATTGTAAATGAGGATCAGAATGTGATTTCTTTCTTTTCCCTGTTCTCTGAACATTGAAACTACTGTAAGCTGGCTCATCAGCATCCACTTCTCTCTGGGGTGTAGAGTTTGAAAAGTAGCTGAAAATGATCCCATTAAAACACACACGTTCCCAGGCATTCTTTCCTATTCTTAGAAACCTGTCTAAGAAGGCCTGCATCCATTCCAAAGCTTGCATTGTACAAATGACATGGCATCACCATCACATCCTTGCATCTCCCAAGGTCTTACTGCCAAAGAGATTCAGTCAGGAGACTTCAAAAATTCAACAGTGACATTCCAGTGTCTATTCAAATCCAAAGAGATCCAGTTACATTAATTCATTATTTAAAGACACATTTCTAAAGGGCTCTTAAAAGAAGTAATTATTAATATTTAAATGCACGGTTTGATTCTTAGCACACAGTACTGTACAAATAATGGTGGCTGAAACATGAATTAAGTTTTGGTTTTTTAGATGGACTAAACGTTGTGCGCGGACAGAAACACTTAGGCACGATACAAGTCTGGCTCCAATTTGCACAAAGAATAATGATCATTCATAGCACTTAAAGTGGTATTTTACATCCATAGATCTGAAGGCATCTTACAAAGGAAGATGGGGGGATGAGGGGATCATTCACATTCTATAGATGGAGAAACTAAGGTCTAGAGAAGTTAAGCCCAGACCCTCAAGAGGTATTTAGGCACCTAACTCCAAAAAAGGATCAGGGCCCAAGTGGCCTGCCCAGTACTACATTGATTCAGTGACAGAGCTGGAAACCAAGTCTCCAGGTACTGTGTCCAATGTCCTATACATTGACTCACACTGCCTTGCCTTAAAAATCATACCTGGACATAATGAGCATCATTATGTGAAGCTGCAAAGAATTCATGTACAAAGGCTCTGTCGTCTTCCCTTATTGCTAACGTAACCTTTGCTTTGCAATTACCACTATCCAGGACAGCATATAAAATATATTCTAAGTGGTGGGAAAATGAGCCAAACATATGAGAGAGCCATATGCATGCTATGATTTTTACCTCTCCTTGTGGCATGAATTATTATTGCATGCAGGCTATCATTAAGTGTTTGTGTCATAAATGCTTGGTATTTGTTGTTTCCCTATTCTGCTGTGTTTGGTGAAGTAATGCGCTTAGCAATAATGGATTATTTTCACAGAGGGATTTCATAGAGTAGATCATCAACTACAGTACTTTCTCTTTCAAGACATAACACTGTCAGTTTGTGGTCAGAGGCAAGTGTCAAGTTAAAATGAACTTCATACATTCATTTGCAACACAGGCAAAAGAGACAGACAAAAGGTTCCAATCTTTTCATTTATCACCACTATGACTTTAAAAATCTACAGAGAAAAACAAAGGAATCCCTGTATATGCAGTTGCTTCCTAGATATGCACATTGCACAAGTTGTTATTTTTCAACTATAAGTAATATTTTAAGATTTCTTTCAATACCAAGAGGTAGGTAGCTTTGGGGGTTTATTTCTTTTTTTAAAAAAAGAAAACCCTCTCATTTCATAGAGATCAATATGATAGTTACACACACAGATATGCCTGCTGCATTGTTATTAAATGCCACAATTTCTTGTGTGTGTGTGTAAAATTTCTAAGAAGATAAGGTGCTACTCCAACCCTGTTTCATTTTAATGGGATGTTGGTTGCCTGTAATTTTGCATTCACTGTTAACAGCCCTGCTTTAATAAATTGTTTTCTGATCTGTTCCTAGATGGAAATTCTGTATGAATGTGAAAACCATTAGCAGAGTAATTGCTGTCTATTACCATGACAACCAGCCACTGCAGTCACCTGCCTGAAGTCTTACCAGACTGCACCAGTTCAGCTGCTCCCCTAGTAAAGACGGTGGAGGATTGTAGCAGTCTTGTGAATGGACAGCCGCAGTATGTCATGCAAGTTTCAGCCAAGGACGGGCAGCTTCTGTCAACAGTAGTAAGGACTCTTGCCACACAGAGGTACAGTAGTACCAAATAAAAAATAAACAAACATGTAATTGATCATTAAACTGTTTTAGCTAAGAAGTGCAGAAAGGGGCTAGAATTACAGCATTCAAGTCTGTGTCAGACAAGAGATCTTTATAAAAAAGCCAAACACACATACAGGCTCAGTCATACCTGTTTCTATGACCATTAAGTAAGAAGCTAAAATTCACCATGTTTAGTTTTCTATTTTAAGTCACACGCAGAAGAAGAAGATAGACGTGTTGCTGCTCGCGTAAGATTTACTACTGTGATAATTGGTAGCTCGTCGCTATTATTTCATCATCATCACCTCTCACCTTTTATGATTAAACTCTCATTATACCTTCATGCAAAAAAAGTGTGGCAGTGGTGTCTGAAGATGCGGATGGTCAAGTGAATAAGTTTCAATAATTTCTCCCGATTTGTAGAAGGAAACTTCAGAATGTTACCCCTGATGACTTGTGCATGCTACTCATTACTTACTGATGAGAACACTCATTCCAATGATGCTTCATGCATGGGTTTCATCTCAAACACACATGGTCGCTGTCAGGGTACAGAACATTGCACACAGCGTTCCTCTCCCTCCCTCCTCACGTGCTGTTGCTAATACTGCCATAACACATTTTGTTCAGACTGCCATTCCTAAACCATGCCACGCGCTCTGACTCACTGAACCGGCAAAGAATCTGTCTCTCATGAAGATTCACATGCAGGCTTTGTTGCCGGAGCCATTGCTCATGGGATTGATAGTAGCTTTTCATGCTGTTGATGCAGACTGACAGATTATGTGGCAAAATATATATTTAAGTCATATACTTTGAGACCACAAGCTGGGTGGTTTTTTTTTGTTCTCTTAACACGTTAGTAAGAGACTCCATAAGGGTTTGACAATATTCACACAGGAGATTTTGGGCAAAATTCTACTCCGTTTCCCTGGTGACTTTCGAGTAGTTCTGGATTTACACCAGTGTAACAGAGCACAGAATCACGCCCACTGCATTGTTTAAAGGGGAACGTTATTAACTTGCTGGGGTGTCATGTAAAAATGTGGTTTTTTGGAGTGAAACAATTATTCCTTTCAGTTTTTTATCAAACTGAACTTACTAGCTCAGATCTGCATTTAATGTCATAACAAACACCACTGGGTTTTGTTTCTTTTTAACTAAACAGAGGGCCGGATTGTCCCTTCGCTTAGGCCACCTTTCACTACAAGAGTGTAAAATCCAGTGAAGTGTAAAGGAAAACCCAGCCCTTTATACACAGGGCACCATTGAAGAGCAGCCAGAGCAGGGGTGGTGGGCAGCAGCAACACATTGCACAATAATGAGGAGGGGAAATATGGGTCAGTGACAGAGAATCAAAGGCACGATTCTTATAAGAAAGCCCTGTGAACCCAGAACATCCATACAGAGTTGGCGTTTTCAAGGTCTCAGCCAAAAGATCCACGCACATGAAAATGCAGCTTATTCAATTTATGTACCTTGGCCAGATGAATGGCTATGTTAATCCTGCTGGGATTTGAAACTGTAGGTCCAGGGAATCCAAGCATTTCAAGGTAGATACTTAGTCTACCCCTCTAGCATGTTACAGTTCTAGCATTTCAGGGATCTATTCCTCTCTCATTTGTTTTTCATGCATGTTACCGATAGTTACGTGTGTCTGAAGAAGGGAGAACTGAGTCCTTAAGGCTTTTGTAAGGGAGAGGTGCTCTTCCCCTCCCCCATCTGTGCCCCATCAAAAGTGATCCTTCTTTGGGCTGAGAAGAATCACACTGTTCCTTTCAGAACCCAATAATGGTGCTCCTTAGCTGGCCATAAGGAATTGCTCCAGATGCCTTCACCAGACCAGATCTCTTTTGTGCCCAGGCACATGTGGCTTGGAGACTCTGCTCATATACTTGGCAGTACATGGTGCTACCTGGAGGTCAGTTTGTGTCACAGGGTTATTGTTTCAGGCTAAATTAGAGTTTGTATGTGTGCGCGCATCTTACCCTGTACTTCAGTGGCAGAGATCATGACTAAGGCTATGATTTTGTCGTGGAGGTCGCGGACTTCTGCAACTTCCAAAGACCTCTGTGACTTCAGGCCTGGCAGCTGGGAGCTGCAGGGTCCTGCCACTGTGGGAGGTGGCAGGGAGCTGTAAGGTACCCTCGCCGCCTGAGGCAGTAGGCCCCCACGCTCTCAGCCACCATGGGCAGCGGGGGTACCCAGCAGCTTCCAGCTGCTGCGGGAGGACTGTGGGATTCCCACACCACTCCTTGCCGCTGGGGAGGGAGGCAGGGGGACCCTGTAGCTCCTCTCCACCAGTGGTGGCATGCCAGCTGGGGAGAGGAGGTAGGGAGGACCCTGGAGCTCTGAGCCCACATGGGTGGTGAGGGTCCCAGAACTCCCAGCCACCCTGCAGCTGTCCAGTCCCTTCCTATTGTGTCATGGATATTTTTAATAAAAGTCATGGACAGGTCATGGGCAATACAGAAAAATTCATGGAAGCCCCTGACTTTTACTAAAAATATCCATGATAAAAATCTTAGCCTTAATCATGACTAGCATCCCTGTAACGGGCATCCACTTTGGGATAGGGTTAAAATATACTCTGCTCCACTTAGAGATTTCTCCTGTAGTGCAGCCCCCAAAGTGTTTCCTGGTGTATTTCTTTCTCTACTTTGTGGGAAATGATAAATTTGTCAGTGTAAGTAAATTGTCTCTCTATTCCCTTCTCCAACGGTTAAGGACTTCCTTCCAGCTTGTAACTGTATAGACCAGAAGTAGCAGCAGTTCTGAACAAGAATATCAAAGTGCCTTCATTCGTTAGCCTGGGGATCATGCCGTATGCTAATGTATAAATCAGGGTGAACTCTAGACACACTGTGAACGTTCCATCTTGTTATGTTGGAACATGGGGTAAGAGAAATTAGGTGCTTTACAACCTAATATACTGACCAGCAACTTCCCTTTCTTGTTTGGCAGCCCTTTCAATGACAGGCCAATATGCAGGATCTGCCATGAAGGCAGCAGTCAGGAAGACCTGCTCTCTCCATGTGAATGTATGGGAACCCTGGGGACTATTCATCGCAGCTGCCTGGAGCGTTGGCTGTCCTCTTCAAATACCAGTTACTGTGAACTCTGCCACTTCAGGTTTGCAGTAGAGCGCAAACCCAGGCCGTTAGTAGAGGTCAGTAAATGAGCCATGTCCTCAAAAGCTTAGTTTTAATGAGCAAGTGATGTATGTTTTACACCAGGACCACAAAGCCTTTGCAGCTTCACTGAAGCAAAAGAAAAGCTGTGAATTTTGGGCATTGGGAGGTGGGGGCAGCAGCAGAGCAGGAATAACAAAACCTTCATTTTGAAGCAATCAGCTTGAGTGAGAAGAATGAAATTGATGGTTTTGCTTCACGGTAAACATCTAAACGAACATCATCTTGTGAACAGTTTGCCTCAAGTAGAAAATGCTTAGTGATCATTTTGGCTGGACTGGTAGAGAGCCATCTAGAAAACGGATTTTTTTTTTTTCAATCTGTGGAACACTAGACAAACGTTACTTGGGATAATGAATATAGGTCAGGAATTAATTAACCCCTCTCCCCCACAAATCTGGCTTCTGTTTTTAGCCCCTAGAAAGGAATTGTTCTTGTTGGAGGTTTTACTTTTTAGCACTTTTCAGATGACCCTTTTGCTTCTTCTTGCCTGTGCACCAGACTACAGCGTAATACTGGGCAATCATTTTCCCTGTCAGTTAAAATGTAGCTATTGCAGATGACAAACTTTGTGGCCTGAGGGCCACATCTGGATATGGAAATTGTATGGCAGGCCATGAATGCTCATGAAATTGGGGGTTAGGGTGCGGCGGGGGGGAGGGCTCCGGCTGGGGGTGCGGGCGGGTGCTCTGGGATGAGACCGAGGGGTTTGGAGGGGGGGGGGGGAGATCAGGGCTTGGGCAGGAGTGCAAGCTCCAGGATTTGCTTACCTCAAGCAGCTCCCAGAAGCAGTGGCATGTCCCACCTCTGGCTGCTATCCGGAGGCGTGTCCAGGCACCTCTGTGCACTGCCCTGTCCACAGGCTCCGCCCCTGTAGTTCCCATTGGCTGCAGTTCCTGGCCAATGGAAGCTGTGGAGGTGGCGCTTGGGGCAGGGGCAGCGTGCGGAGCCCCCTGGCTGCTCCTACGCATAGGAGCTGAGGGGGGCACATGCCGCCTGCTTCCAGGAGCTGTGCGGAGCAGGGCAAGCCCCAGACCCCACTCCCCAGCAGGAACTGGAGGGCTGGATGTGGCCCCTGGGCCACAGTTTGCCCACCAGTGGGCTATTGCTTACTGCAGTTGCTTAATTAATGTACAAAATTGCCTGGTCTTGTGGTAAAAAGCAGTCAAGATATGGGTTTGACTTGGCTGATAAGCTTGCGTCTCCCTTATTTTGACTTCTGAAAGATTGTGAAATTTGAGTCCCTTGTGTAATTAAAACTGAATTGCTTCAAAATGAAGGTTTTGCTATTCCTGCACTCCTGCCCCCACCTGCCAACACCCAAGATTCACAGCCTTTCTTTTGCTTGAGTGAAGCTGCAAAGGCTTTGAGTTCTTTATGAGAATAGTGAGAAACATCTTATTTCATGTTGTTGGGGACACAGAGGTTTGATCAAGTGCTGTACGTGCTTCATGTGTGGCTGATTTTGGATTAGTACTGTATGTTTACATGGAAAAACTGACAATATAAACGGAAAAAAATATTTTTTCCCATCTAGTTCATAAGCAGCAGGAGGTAGGTTCTACATCCACCAATCTCATCATTTATCTGATAGAAATAAATTACATCGGCCCAATTGGATGGGAATGGGAGATCTTCTCCAGGGACTACCAGTGATGCTTTGTGTTGGACCAGTTTTAAACATGAGGACACAGCAGCTTCTTTAGTCTTTCTTGAGTTCAGCAAAGCAAAGATCTTCTGCTAGGTTGTACATGTTCAGTATTGAATACTAGGAGCTATAGTTTTGTCAAGTCATAACGGGAGGGGGAGGAATCCTTTTTTCTGGGTCAGTCCTATCCCCTGTTTTCCAGTGGCTTGTCTGAGCAACTGAACAAGACTCAAGCCTCACAGTTTGAGAAATGCTGATTTTGGATGTTCCCAGGCTAATAATGACTAAACAGCAAAATCATCATCATTTGGCTATACTCAATAAAAGGTGACATTTTCTTATCAATCCACTCTGATCCTGAATCAAGCAAGGTGCAACAACATCGATCTGTTTGTGGTTTGAGGTCCCTATCGTTGTGAATTTGCCTCCTAAGAAACAAGATGAATGACCTTGAGACTGTGTGAAACAAACAGCTAGATTTTAGGGTCCAACCTGTTTCAACTTTGTCCTCACTATGACTGCTCATGAAATTTTCATTGTACAAATGGAGTGTGACATTTTTCAGAGTTAATGATGAGGCACAACTTGAGAGCGAAATCTAACTCTTTCAGAGCTGGGGGAGGCTAGCTGTTTGATCTCCCATGCTGCAGTGACCTCTCTCTCTCTCTTTGACAAAAAGTAACCTTTTTTAAAAATTGTCTTTGGTTTCTCAGTTGAAGGAGAACCGAGAAGCAGGTCCAAGCACATTTCAAAGTGGTACACATTGTTAGTTACCATTTTACGTTTTATTATGCAATGTTTACTTGATCTTTAACTACCACCTCCTTAGAGGTTTTTATAGGGCGATCAACAATGATGTGAAGGAAAGGGTATAATGACTGCACCATTTTTTAAAATGGTTTAAATCCTCATTTAATCTCAAACCACTTTTTTGGTGTAAGATCACAATGAATTAAAGTTGGAAGGAACAAAGTAATAAAAGGGAAAATATTATCTGGCTTTTGAGCAAAAGGACAAATCCAACTAGAAAATATCACAAGTTATCTTTATTTCTATTCATATCTTTATCATGAGTATAAACAAAGCTTAAAGTTTAATATATTGCTTCTTGAAAACAGTGCACGTACCTAGTCTAACCTAATTATTTTTCTGTAAAGAAAAATTGAATCTTCTTCCCATTAGAAGAAATGTTAAACCATTTTCTTAGAAAGCAACTAAGAAAAGGGCCTGGATTATATCCTTCTTATTCATCCCTCTCCCAGCTTGAGCACTGCCTGTTATATTGCTTAACCATGTAAGGGAAATGGTTTAAACAAAAACAAACAGATATTTACTGTGTCTGAGCTGAAAGTTTCACACCCTTGAAGACCACTCAAGCTCTTAACACCCTAGAGAAGTTGGGGGTGGCAGGTTAAAGTGAACTGAGCAATAAGCGGTTTAGCTGCTCATTCCGCCATATTGCTCCCATGTGTAGTTTATTATTATAGCACCAGAAGATTCCTCTGCATTTGTAACAGTGTGATCAGAACAGTTGTTGGATTCACTAGATTTTTTCAGTCTTGTTAGAAATTTTCTTTTTAAAAAAAAAAAAGAAAGAAACCAGATATTCCCTTGTTTGTCAGAAGATTGATTGGCTTCACCTTGAAAAACCTCTAGTATTACTCTGGACATGGAATAAATCCATTATGTGATAGTTGATGTGAGTGGATCTGATGTACTTTGTGACCAGCTGGAGGGATCTCAAACAAATGCATCATCTAATGGAACAAAAGTAAAAGTAAATTTACTTAGGATGTGATCCACAGAGATCCTTAGGTGCCCGAGTCCCGCTTGTCGTTACCACTGTGATGTGCAGAACTCCCACTTGGCAGCCACTGACCCACATAGGTCCCTAAATTCACTTGATGCCACAGGTGCTGACTTTCCTATGTGCTGGGGGTACTCAACCCCCGGCTCTGCCCCAGGCCCCACCCCCAATCCACCCTTGCCTCTGGGCATGTGCACTGTTGCCTTACTCTAAATGCCTGGGTGCTTATCTACAGCCTAAGCCCCAGAGCGATTCACGAACTAGGGAAGGTAGGTGTGTGGGAGCCTAATCTGGTTGGCTGCCTCTGAGTGCGCCTATTGGATCAGGCCCCTCAGGAGAATTCACACAAAGTAGCCAGGGCAGAAGACCCTCCCTTATGACCATTAGCCTAGGGGATTAGGGTACTCACTCAGGATGTGGGAGATCTCTGGTTCAAGTCCCCATTACTCCTAGAAAAAAGAAGGGATTTGAATAGGGATTGGCCACCTCTCAGGTGAATGCCGTAGCCACAGGGCTTTCTATCCAGTAGGGGCATTAAAGTATGTGCTTCCTCCCCATTTCCTGCTCTGTGCTTGACTCTCTTAGCTTGTTGAGCAGTACATTTAGAAGAGAGCCATCGGGTCAGCTGAAATGTGCAATAAGTTATTAAGAAATAGGATTTGGAAAATGGAAATTCAGAAGAAAAGCTTCACATGATGTTTTGATCTTCCTTTTGGATCAAAAAGGCATGGCGGTATATTTCATGGTGGGAGAGATTAGATTTCCTCATTTCTTTTTCCTTTAAACAGACCCAGCTGCTTGATAAGAATTGTGTGAACAATTTAAAGGGCATTTGTTCCCTATAGGCTGTGAAGGTTTTAGCCACATTGAAACTGGGGCCTGTTTTCACACATTTCAGTTATAAAAATTAATGAGATATACAGTAAGTCACATGATGGGTAAGTATTTTGAAGGTGTTTTATCGTATAGAAAACTTTTTAAAGAGTGCCGAAGACCCAGCATGTTTGCAGTGCTGCTGGATAGCAGTACATAAGAGTTCATCTTGCTACACTGAAACCTCTTTGTACCTTTTTTAAATTACAGCTCACTGGACAAGCACACTATGAGTGTGCCCTTTTATATGTTGCTCTGCAGAACATCCAGGACTTAGCTTAACACCTTTGGATATTTAGATCAGACCCATGTAAGATTTTTCTCTTATTTCGTGTACTTTTCTCCTGCCTACATAATAGTCAATGCTGTATTTCCATCAGCACAAGAGACAGTTAATAATTCAAGGGAGCACCCTGGGCAGAGACATCTGTTCAAAGAACTAGCATTGTTTGTACCAAACTATTATAATGTTATGATAGTGAAGCCTTAGTTAGAAGAGAGACTGAGATTAGAAAATAATCCAATAGAAAATACAGGGAGCCACCTCAAACAGATTGTTAACTGTATTTAAGCAAAAAGCATAATGCATCAAGATTCTTCTGCTCAGTCAATCTCCAGCTATGTTACGCTGAGGATATGTAACATCATCT